TATATAGGACACAAGCAGATTTTGACATCAAATTTTGGGGTAAAAAAGTGCATCTTGTACACCGAAAAATACAGTAAGTGATGAAGTTTTAAGCAACTCCTTTTTGCCATGTCAAACACATAGTTATTGAAGTTAATCAAGAGAAAGGAAAATGTGAGATGTGCTAACAGGATACACATATAGCAGTAGAAACATCACAACTGTTGGAACAATATAAATGCTTTAATGAGAGTAAGCTATTTTTTGGGGAATAAAAAGTAACAATACAGGCAAATTATTTAAAATATTAGTATTAAAACAAATGATAATTTTCAAAAGTTTTTGAGATTTATGAAATTGACATATATTACATTATCCATATTTCTGTCTTTAGCTATGTTGTGTCATATTTAATATTTTTGACTGTTACAACACTTGTAACTAACTGACAAAAACAAAGTTAGTGAAATCACTTTTTTATATATAATATACTCAGAAAACTTCAGCAGAATTATTGCAATATTGATTGTTTTTAATATTTTATGTGTGACTCATATTTCAAATGACCCTGTAATTAAACTCATGTTTGTTAATCCATTAGTGTCTCTAGAAATTTTTCATATCTTTTCCTTAGATGCTTTGAGTAATTTGTACTGACTTGAGTCGTTTGTACTGATATGGTACTTTCTAGTGTACTTTTCACACTTTATTGAATATTGTTTCTTTGATTAAAAAAAAGTTAGAAAATAATAGTACAATAGAATATACACTTCACAAATTACATAGCTTCTAAACTAATCTTGTAAAGAATTTTGTATTAAAACTGAATAAATGCATTCAATAAAATTTGCTTGTGTTTGCTGACCTTTCTAAGTTAGTTTTTCTTTACAAAAATAAGTAAAATTCTTAATGAATGTAGCACATGAGAAATTTGTTGTTTTTGTTAATATAATTACATGGTCATGATGAAAGGTCAACTAGAAAATCATTTAGAAACATGTGTACTTAATTCAAAATAATGTTTTCTTAATATACTTAAAAAGCAAAATTAAATTGAAGTGAAAGACAATCTAAAGGAAGGTAGGAAATATTTACAGATTTTTTTGTCACTCTTTGTGTTAGTATTGTTTTGCTTGTACAGAGGTAAGCACAATATATTAAAACTATTTTGGAGCCTCATTGGCACTGTCCATGTTGCCACATCTAGTGATGCTCTGTTTGACAATTCGACATCTTGACAATAGCCATGCAGCATAGTTTCCACATAAAAAGTATCTGTTGTAAGGCATTCTTGTCCTGAGCACACTTATCCTCCCTACAAACTTTCCATAATTCATTTAGTGTATGACAGTTTCCAAAGCCTATTTTTCTAGTGACTTGACTAGTTTACCTTCATATGGATAGATAGCATGAATATCCATTTCATTCCCTAGCTGTTTAAGGTATACTATATTTTAGGTGTGTCACTTTATCCAGATGGGATCTTTCTTGATTATGTTGCATACTGATGCCTGAGACACATGGATGGATTTTGCCCCTGACCATTCTTTGTTTTCATAGATTCATACCTCTTTCAAGATGCCACATACTGTTTACCATGATTGGGGTATGACTTGTTGCAGGTCTCTTTCTGAATGGCGCTTTTACTAAAATTTGATATGTATTTCTTTATTTTCCAGTGTCATTAAGTACAAGAGATATTCCCTTCTCGGAAATTCTAAATTCCCAATCTAAACACATTTCTGTAGTCTCAGTGTGTGAATATTTTGCATTGAAAAGGACTGTGACATACGTTTCCAAAAAGAAATAAGTTTTCAGTGGTATCACACTACCTACACAATCTCAAAGTGTAGTTCTGTTACATATCATTCCACCCTAACTTTGTCAGCTGTGATTTCCTGGTGACTTAGAATAATTTTAATATAACATACTCAAGTTTCTGTACCACATACTAGTTGCATTACATGTGAGAATATGCTTTTACTATGTTGATGAGTTTTTCTAAATGTTAGTTAAAACACTATCATTTGTTTTTGTGATTCCAAGAATATGTTAAAATTTGTTTATATTGTCCATTAACAACAGCAATTCCACAACGCTAAGCAATGGTGCTGACATCTCTCAAGACAGTGGGATCCTGGAGGCTGAAATGGAAAATGAAGAAGCTCCAGTGTCTTCAGCACCAGAGAAACGCACTACCCTTATGAAGAAACGATTAACCACAAGAGTGAACCCTCCAGCTGAGCTCCCCACTTGGCTTGCTACCTTTCAGGTATGTACATTGTGTGTGTGTGTGTGTGTGTGTGTGTGTGTGTATATATATATATATATATATATATATATATCTTTTACAATTATCTGTATTACATCACAGGCATACAGGTGATTACTAAGCTTTTCACAGCCCTGATAAGATAGTTATGTAAAACATACAACATTTTCATTTAGATGTGTGCAACAAGAAATACATGATTGCACCAGCAAAACTACAACAAAAGTATGAATGTTAATACTAGAAATAAATGGCCTTATAACATCAAAAAATGTTGTTTTTATTTAATTAGAAACTCAATGTTCACTAAAACACAAACCGGCACTGACAGTACAAAGCTTCAAATGTCTTTTTCTCACCACTTTCCTGTATTCCCTTTCCTCCCTCCACCTTTTGTCTGAGACACTTCATTATGCCCCAAGGTGTTGTACGTTTCTTACTGAAGACCTTGACTGAAGTTGCATGACTTCAGTCCTCATTATCTTCCCCAGTTTTTCTTGTTTCTCAACCTTACCCTTTTGCTCCTGTTCCTTGTCTGAATCAGTCTATTCCTAACATTCCAGGCCTTCCTTTTTTTTCTCACCTTCCTGCTAACCTACATCTGATTCATTGCTCTTTTTGTCAGTGACTATCCTTTCATATCTGGCTCTGTGATTACCCATCTCATCCTCTTCACCTGCAGTTGGTCTCATTTTCTGCTGACAGCATTTTTTATTTTCTCCCCCACTTCTCTTCAATTCTCTTCCCTCTGACCCAGTCTATGGTCTTTTTAATCCTCTTCACCTGCAGTTGGTCTCATTTTCTGCTCACTGCTTGACTCTTTCCATTTCTTTTTCTCCTCCTGACCCAGTCTACAGTCTGTTTCATTTGGTCAGAGGTTGGCCATGGTCGATGTGTTGAACACCTTCCCACACATCCTTATTGATCGTCCTCAATATGTTTGTATTCCATCTATCAGATTCACAACGTTCAACTCTATATGATGACATGATTTCAGACAATTGGATGCAGAATTTGCACTTACTTCACATCAGCATGCTTGAACTCCTTGCTGCTCATCAGGCATATTCCCATTTCCTGCCCCTTCTGATGGATCAATTGGTCAGGATTCACTCTGACGTTTCTTACTCCCTTTCTAGAACTTACTCTTTTGGGCTCATTTACATCAATTTGAAGCTACTTACTTTGAGGCAGAATGCCTCTCATCTGAACTGCATTCATTCCATGGATTGGTCTATTTCCCCAGATCTTAACACTTTCAATATGACCGACCACGTGACCTTTTTATACTCGTTTAAAGTCTTTATAGATGTGAAGTATTTTCAATAAAATAAAGCTTTCTCTATGAATATATTGAGTATTTCTTTTGAATAGTAAATTGGACAAAAGAATTTTCATGTTAAAATTAAAAATACTTTTCCTCATCTCAAAAATATCAAACTCTCTTTGTGTAATCCCTACAACCCCCTAAATGCTGTTCAAACGTTTTTTTTTCAGTAAAACTTTATAGTTTATCTCTTATTTTCTCAACCTTATCTCAAAATGGGGTTGGTCAAAATGATCAACCTCATAACCACCAAAAAGTATCAAAATAAACCTAAATTAACCTTTTTTTTTCTTTCTAGAATGACTTCAAATTGTAACATGAAACTACATTCGTTTATCCTAAGTAGCTCTAAGTTCATAATATTGTACATCTATTTATAATTAAATTTTATTGTTTATTCCCCTTTGAACTGTGTCTAACTACCATCTGTGCCATTATATGTTGTAAATCACTCGGGGAAAGTTCAGCTCACGTTATGCTATCGAATTACATCACCCATGAGCTTCTCACATGCGTGCTTCGTGAACCATTTTAATTATGTTATTATTATTACTTATTTTAAGTAATCTAGTGTTAAATAACTTAAAAAGATGCGCATTTTTAGATTTTAGTTACTTTTATAATAATAAATAAAGAATAAATGTGGAAAACAAGAAATAAAGTACTTTCCTAATCTTTTTTCTTGCTGTCAGTTTTTGAAGAGAGTTAACCCTAATTTTTTATACTATAGATAGTAATGCACATAATAATTATTTAATTAAATAATGCACAAAAGAATATAAACTAATAACATGTAAAAAGTAGACAAATTCACTTATGTCTCAAAATTTTTAACTATGCAACAAGAGTCTGATTTTCTATTTGATAGCTCTGTAACCAAACAGAAGTGAAGACTATAAAAATTATGGTTTACTGAATAATAATGATTTTATGGGGAGGGTAATTTACATTTAATTTTGTACATTTTCGAGGGGTGATGGATAAAATAGGGATGGTGACATGCTAAGACAAAATGTCACATGGGTCACACTAGTGGAAATTCAGGAATTTGTTTTTTATATTCCCTTGTAGAATTACGAACTTAAAACTTGTATACTATTAAAATATGGATTATTAGCTAAGATTTATGCTATTCTAGTTGGTATAACATAAACAAAAAGTAGTATAATAAAATTTTAAATGTAAGACACTAAAACCTTGTGTCATGTGCAGTAAAGGATACCCGAGGTGATAGGGTTAAATGCCTTTGCCATTTGACTCATCTCCAATATTCCTTTCTTATGGTCCCTTGATCCTCATCTTTTGGCTCTTGCTGTCAAAGCTCTCAGCTAGGACTGGTGTTGTCTTTTTTGATAAGCTATCCTCTTTGGTATCTCCGTTGGATCCTCTGTATGTGATGCTCCTTCTCTAGTATTACTATAGTGCTTCTTTGACTAACTCAACCTTCATTTCCTGTGCGTCTTCACTTTCCATCAAAATCCTCCCCTTCCTCTACCCCTATGTTCCTTTCCTCTTGCTTCAACCTTACACTTCCTTTTCATCAAGGAATGTTATCCCTCCATCTTCATTTTTAAAATCCTTTGATCCTTTTGCTTTGTCTGTCTATCAAAGACAGTGGCAGTCTTTCATTGTTTATCCATCCACCACTCCTTTTCTCCTGACAGTCCTACTGTGCTCCATCTTTCTGCCTTTATTTTTTGGCTGACTGTTCAGCCATGGTTTGTTAATCTCCATCATAGCTCATTATCATGTGGCATTATCCACTGCATTTCACCTTTCCTGTTTTATTCCCTTGTCATTTCCACTCCTTTCTTCACTGTCTTCCTTGCCCAACTTCCATGCCTTCTTGGGTCTGTAATGTGGTTTAGCATGCTATCATAGGTGCCCTATTCCAACCATTGACTTCTTATTCTTTGTATCACTTTCTCACATCTTATCTCTTCCTTCTCCTTGTGTCACCATTGTTTGGTCATCTATGCTGTAATATTTCTTGCACCTTCTTCCACCACACTTACATACTCATTTACCTGGACCAGTCTTCCTTTTTCAGACTTCTGCCACTTGGAAGGTTAACAGTTCTTCCTTCCTGTCTCCCTTTGTTATATCTCTCACCTCTGTGATCATTTATACCCAAATCAGCTCCTATGTCCTGTTAAATGTTGGTTATCAAGGACTTCTCCTTTTTGGGGGTCACCACCATCGTCTATTCCTACCTCTCTCCTTCTACCTTTAGTCAATGAATCCATTGAATCTTCTGGTTGGTATATTTCTCTCTTGGTGTAAATGCTTGCAAACTATTTCATATTTCTTTGAATTTAATAGTTCATTTCCTCATTCTTATGCTCACCATCTTCCCTGGTCCTATGATGAGACCCTCCAGGTGGGCATTTGGATGACTACCCACATGTTTGTCACACCTCCTCTTCACAATCTGACTGTTGCATCTCTCACAGGATTTTGACTTCCATTGGTTGCCATACTTCCATCTCCCGCTATCTTTGAAATTGGTACATATGTTTCCATTTTCATTTCTCTCTCTTTCCATTGTGAAGGATCCCATCAGTTGGCTGGTGTTGCATCCTGGGATATGCTTGTTTCTCAAAACCTACATCGAGCCAGCATAATGAAAAGTGCTTAAACCAACTGCCCTGGCTCTACCAGTGCCCACTGTGAAATTGGGTGTTTTGCAAGACCACTTGAGGTATGCTCTTGGTATAATATGTTACTCAATTGTCCGATCCAGACTATACCAATTCCATGGACTATCTTGGAAAAAGTCAGCACTAAAGAAATGATTGCTCACTTCTTTGACTCGTTCTTGAGGTCACACATTACACTGTCTCCAGTAACAGACCTTTCTGGCTGGTGGTCCATTAGGGATCCAGGCAATTTTTTGATTACCCTCTACATCCCCCCCCTCCTCAAAGTGGAGGACATGTTACCCTTGCCACATACTAGTTTGTAGCCCCTTGAGTGGTGTACCATAGAGAATCTTCACACTGTCAGTGTAGTGCAGGTCACCCCTTACAAACATGACACATAACTAATATGCCCTCCTTCTGCAGCCAAAGCATGTTGAGCACACTATATCCTGATCAAGCCTCAACCACACTACACATAATGGTTTTTTTTGGTCAAAATTTATTCAAGGTACATAGAAAGCATGGGATTTATTTGCAGTAAACTTAATTGACTCAAATGAATAAATATTGTATTTTTTTTGTTTATTGAGAAATGCAAATTAAAATCAAGGAAGTACTTTAAAATATTGATTTAAAGGTAAAGAAATTGTAAGATTGAATTATATTTTAGAATGCTAGAAAATGATCACCTTTTTGTATTTTTTAGTATTTAATGCATAAATTTCTAAAAGTGATGAGATTTCTGGTCTAGGGGGACCTTGGATATCGGATAATAAATAGCTATCCAAAATTTAATATATGTTTGCATGTTCTTATAACAAAACTATGGTTCTTTTTTAGACATGGAGCAATGCAGAAAGACTACTTGCTATAGACCAGTTAATAGAAACCTGTGAACCAGTACAGGTTCGACATATGATGGAGGTGATTGAGCCACAGTTTCAGAGAGATTTTATTTCATTGCTTCCAAAAGAGGTTTGTTACTGGGTTTTAATTTCATAAATACTTTTTAATACTTTTCTGAATTCACCAAGATATGTAATTTGTTTTTCATTTTATTATGAAACTATACTGATTACATGAATTAATTAAAAGTTTCTAAAACAATTATAAACATTAATATGAAGGATGTTTCTTTGCATCCAGCATATCTTTTAGCAAAATTAAAATTGTCCTTTTCCTCTTGATACCAGAGTGACCATTAAATTATTCTTTCAGTTACCATAATATTACTAAAGTGCCTTCTCTGATAAAGGCTAACCCCACTGACACAGGTCAAAAGCCATGTCATTGCACTTTTGACTCACATTCAAAATTTTATTGAAGTACTATTTTATGAATGTATGTCAGTAAGTTTGGTATCAAATTGTAGATTATAATTCAAATTTATTATTATACATTAGTTAATTTCTTGATTTAAAAATAAATATTAAAAAAAGTCCCAAGTATCAATATTTGTGTGTCACGTGGTATGTTGAATGCAGTTTCTTATGAATTAGATACTCAAGCTACTGACATTAACTAAAGAACAATAAGATAAGAACCTTCTATCTTTTCTATTTTCTGAGATATTAATATATTTATTGAATCAACCCAAGTGGCCCACCCACCTCTTCAATTTTTGAAAATACTTTCTCATATACACCTGCTTTGCCCAGTGACGCATGTTTAACCAATCAAAAGCTCAGAATGTCCCCTATTAGCTTTCTCAGTCTTTTTGAAGTATTTGTGCAGCAAACTCTTTTCATGTAAGATTTCAAGTGGTAAGGTAAGACATTAGCAAGCTCAAAATTTGGTGTTTTTTAGAACTAAATCAGCTTAGTTACTAAGCTTGATAAATTATAATGGAATTCTGTGGTATTTGTACAGCAATTTATGATTTTTCATTATTTCAAAATGTATATATATAAAACCAAAAAAAATTATTTCACATACTCCACATGTAAAATTTGATAAGGCTTACCAATCTACGGCAAGCAGCAAACGAGTACAGAGTTCATAGCTAAAAGAGATAATAATTGTTTGCTATACATTATTATTTAGTGTTCTATGTTTTAAGGAAAGTAAGTTTAAGAACTTATTTGTAAATAGTAATAATATAATGTATTATAACTGAAATGTGGCTGTATTTAACAAAATACTGGTCTACTAAAACAGCCAAGACAGGTCACTGTGTAAAGGCCAGTTTTATATTCATGGATACTGTAACATGAATGAATGTGTGCCACGTCATTGCAACTTCTGTAATGTTAACCAGGCACAGCTGGAAGGTCAATATAAAGAAAATAATAAATATAAATAGATGTATAATTTTATTAGGCTTAAGCTATTTAGTCTAAACACTTGTGTTATAATTTGTAGTCACTCTAGAAGGAAAAAAGCATAACCTATATTTATTTCCTAACTTTTATGATGGTTATGAGGTTGGTCAAATTGAACAAACCCATACAGAGATACGATAATGAAAATAATAGATAAAATATAGTTTTTTCTTAAGAAATGTTTGATAACTATCTGGATGCTATAAAGGTTTCACGTGTGAAATTTAAAAAAATTTTAATGCATAAAAGTATTTTTAATCTTAAAATGAAAATTCTTTGCATGTTGGAAAGGCAACATGTGGAAAGAAAAAAAAGACATGAGAAAAACATTGCTTAACAGATCTTAAGACTTAATACAAAAATCTGATATTTTGCATATGAAAGTCTTGTAGTGTTTACTAATAACATGCAAAATTTTGCTTACTAATTTAAAATCTATAGCATGAAAACTAAAAGCACAAAATAGTTACAAGGCTGGTCTCTGGGACCAAGCTTGTGCTGAGAGAGTTAAGATTTATACATTTTCAAAAAAATATAGGGGTTTCAAATGCTACACTTCTGTAGTTGAATGCTCTAACTTCCAAAAGCAAAATACGAATGACAAGGTATTAGTAATTTTGATATAACGAGTTTTGGAAAAATTAAAATTAAAAATTTTGAAACATAGAATGTTTTACTGACATAGTGTTTGTTTGTATTTTTGGAAAAATTCAAATTAACTCTCAGCATGGGCTCAGTCCCTGAGACCAACCTCCTAACCATTTTGTGCTTGTTGTAGGTTTCATGCTGTAACTTTTAAACTAGTAAGTGTATGTTAATGAAATTTGGCACATTATCAGTAAACATTACAATTTTGATATTTTGTGTATGAAAGCGGCATGAGAAAAACATTGCTTAACAAACTTTAAGACTTAATAAAAAAAATTTTTTCTTTTCACATGTTGCCTGTCCAACATGCAAAGTAATTTTAATTTTAAGATTAAAAATTATTTTATGCATTAGAAAATTTTAATATTCACATACAAAATCTTTATAGCATCCAGATAGTTATACAATGTTTCTTCCAAAAAAAACTACATTTTATCTGTTATTTTCACTAACGAATCTCTGTACGGGTTCGATAGACTTGACCTATTTCGTAACCACTATAAAAAAATTGGGAAATAAATATAAATGATGCCTTTTTCATTGTAGAATGACTACAAGTTATAATACGAAGACATATATATTTAGACTAAATAGCTTAAACCTCATAACATTATACATTTATATATATTTATTATTCTTATTATATTGACCTTTCATCCATGCCTGGCTAACAATACAGAAGTTACAATGATGTGGCACATGTGCACTCATGTTACTATATACTATATAATATATAAAACTGACCTTTAGTCTTTACAAAGTGACCTGTCTTGGCTGTGTTTTAGTAGACTAGTATTTTGTAAAATAGTCACATTTCAATTATTATACATTATTAATATTTACAAATAAGTTCTTAAACTTATTTTTCGTAAAACATAGAACAGTAAATAAAGAAGTAAAGCAAAAAATACTCTCTTCTAGTTACGACTTTTGTACTCGGTTGGTGTTTGTCAGCTTGCTAAGCCTTAAGAAATTTCGCATGTGGAGGATGTGAAACGAAAACATTTTTTTAGGTTTTATATATATATATACAGTTGAATAACCAAAAAATTATAAATTACTATATCAGTACCATAGAATTCCACTATAATTCATCAAGCTTAGTAACTAAGCTGTATTTTGGTCTAAAAAAATATGAAATTTTGAGCAGACAAGACTCAACCGACCTTCTTGAAGTCTTGTTTCAAAACGAGGAGATGATGTCTTAACATTTGAAAATGGCTGAGAAAGCCACTAGGGGGACATTCTGAGCTTTTGATTAGTTATTCACATGTCATATACAGAAGTTAGTGTATATAACGGAGCATTTACAATAATGGAAAGAGGTGAGTGGGGCCGCTGTGTTCGATTCAGTACATGAGCAATATCTCAGCAAATAGAAAAGATAGGAGGTTCTTATTTTATATTCTAGCTTGTCAATATTGGTAATTTGAGTTCCTAGTTTGTACGGAACTGTGTATTTAGTATTTTAACATCACCAACATCCAATTGACACAGTGCTGCATTCAACGTACTATGTGACACACAAAAATCGATG